ACTTTGAGCACATGATAAAAGTGAGAGCACAAGGGAGGGGTGAAGGATAGGTAAGACACCTAAAAAATTAGCTAAGCATTTGTTGCCCTTAAACCAGAGAAACTAAAGCAGATACCTTAAAAGCAACTGAGGCCAATAGGAAAAGGACCAGGAACTAGAGAAAAGGTTAGATCAAAAAGAATTAACCTAGAAGGTACACACACGCACAGGAAATTAATGTGAGTCAACTCCCTGTATAGCAATCCTTATCTCAACCAGCAAAAACCTTGTTCCTTCTATTATTGCTTATACTCTCTCTTCAACAAAATTAGAAATAAGGGCAAAATAGTTTTCTGCTGGGTATTGAGGGGGTGGGGGAGAGGGAGGGGGTGGAGTGGTGGTAAGGGAGGGGGTGGGGGCAGGGGGAAATGACCCAAGCCTTTATGCACATATGAATAATAAAACAATGTTTAAAAAAAGAAGTTTCATTTTTAATGAAGTTCATCGTCATTATTTCTTTGGTGTTTTGTCTTCATTGTCATCATGGCCAAGGTCATCTAGGTCTTTTTCTATATCCTTGCATTTACATTTATCTGAATTCACATTGAATTAATTTTTGTGAGAAGTATAAGGTCTGTGTTTAGATTCATTTCTTTCATGTGGATTTCCAGTTGTTCTCCCAGTGTCAAAGTGACTGTCTTCTCCCCATTGTCTTACATTCACCCCTTTTTCAGAGACCATTGACTCTATTTATATGGGTCTACTCTGGGTCCTCTATTCTGTTCCTTTAGTCTGTTTATCCATTTTAAAATCAATAGCACATTGACTGTTGTAGATTTGTAGTAATTCTTAAAGTAGGTGGAATTGATACTCTGACTTTGTTCTTCTCTTCAACATTGTGTTGGATTTTGGGGTTGTTTGCCTCCCCATTAAGTTAATTCATTTCTCACACTATTTAGACATTTAAGACTGTAGCAGTTTGAAGTGGAATTTCCATGTGCTATGGGTAATTGCAGTTATATAAGCATATTATTATAACAAATAAGTCTTTTGAGATCCAAAGCAGAATTTATACCAGCAGAGAAAAATTTAGCCAAAGTCTCTACTAGTTTATGTAGGTATTTGTTCTGGAAGAATACTAATGGCTGGTTAGATGAAGCTGTATTGAATACAAATAATATTTATACTTTTATGTAAAATGAAAGCAATGTCTGCAAGAAGTTTTAAAGAATTTTTATTCTTCAGAAGAGCTTGATCAGTTTCACCACTCAGGCTTCACATTGTAACCACTGGTAAAAATTTGTTGGGAAAGTAAATATTGCCAGTGTCTAAGTTTCACTCCCATTGTCTGATTGTTTTTGGAGTCAGGTATAGATCTCCAGGAGATTCTCTTATGTGGCTAAACCAAGTGATTTGCTGAAAGCAGACATGATGAGGGGTGACATGATGAGGGTGACATGATGATGACATGATGGGGTGACTAAGATGAGCCTGTTCACTTTGTGGCTTCCTAGAGGCACATGTCCAGAAGCACATGTTGTGGAACACTTTGGCTACAGTTCTTTTATCAGGCAGAACTCCCTGTGACCTCTGCTATTACTGCACATGCCAAGGAAGAGAAACAAATGTGGAAGGTTTCCTTTTCTAATGAGTTGCAATTATAAAATTTGAATGAGAGAAGTGGGAAGTAAGAATTGAACTATAAACTGACATAAAAACTTGCATCCATTTCAAAATTTCATTGCAAAATAATGGCTCTCTTTTACTAGTTACCTCATTAATATTTGATTATATAAGTGAATTATGATTGCCATCTATGAATGTAAGCATAGTAAAAGTATTTTAACATTGAAGCCTCAGTGAAGAGATTTTGATAAAGTTTTTTACCACCAAAACTTTTGGTTTATGAACAGCTTAATCAATTTACTTGTCAATTCATTTACCTCTTATAAATATGTATTTTCAACTGCAGTAACTTCAAATGCAGATTTTGACAACAATGTGGATCCTGATTCTCTCTCCTGACACTGAAAAACTAGGGGAAAGTAGTTCTTCTCAACAAAACTTAAACAGAAAAGTATAGATACAGAAAGTAACCATAAGTCTGATGATTTCTGCATATCACTGGAGAGCAAGGATTCCTTGCCAAGTACAGATTTCAATCAACCTTCCATTGAAGAGAAATTATCTCAAGTCAACAAAGAATCCTTTGAATTCAGCAATCTGCATAATAGGCCAACCTTTGAAGATTCTAAAACTACAAAGTCACCACTGGTAAATCTCTACTATTTATTAACATTTTAGAAGGAATTTCTGAAGAAAATGTTATTTTGGTTCTCAAATGTTACTGTCTACTGAAGTTAAAATGTGCTGACTATATTATCAGGTGGTAGCTGATGGATGGGAAAGAACACTAATGACTTATAGAGCAAATTCTAGTATGGTGAATGCCATATTAACAAATGGTTTTCTGTGACAAATGAATTAAGACCCACCTCATAAACCATAGTAAGAGTGTAATTACTTTTTCAAATAAAATTCATTATCAGTAATAATAAATCCTATCACTTTTCAAAATGAAATAAATGTGGATAGAATCACTTTCTCGGGCATAATAAAAGTCAGGGTAAAAAGGTAATTATTTCAGGAATATAGCTAATATAGAAATAGCGATGGCAAAATTTTTTGTTCTTCTCAGAATAAATAAAGGTACAGTAATTATTATTTCATTATTGCCAAATTTTATGTTTATATTTGAACCTCCATTATGTACATTAGAAATATTCAGTAATTGTAATTGGAACGTGGGTAAGTTAAACCTTTCCATAATCCTTAAAAGTTATTTAAAGTGAACCTCCACAAACTAAGCTCAAGAGGGAACCAACAAAGCAGGAGATGAATACTTGAGTTGCTGATACTTCTGCTCCAGGGACTGGCTTTCTGCAACCACTTTGTTGCAGGTGTTGTGCCTTTGTGTGGGAAGCAACTGGATTGAGACCTCTGCAAAAAAAAATGCAGATTCGTAAAGTCTGCTTAGGAGAAATAACCACAGGTGCAACAAGATGGAAAGAAATTAATTTATGCAGGAGATCTGAGTCAGGTCAATAAAACATCTAACATAAAAACTAAAAATCTTGGGTTTTCATTTGGTCTAAGTTTGAAGATACTTATCCAAATGTACACTTTCTTTTCTTTTTTTTGCAGTGGGATTTGAACTCAGGGCCTATACTTAGCCACTCCATCCCTTTTCTGTGATGAGTTTTTTGAGATAGGGTCTCACAAACTATTTTCCAGGCTGTCTTTGAACTGGGATCCTCCTGATCTCAGCCTCCTGAATATCTAGGATTACAGGGATGAGCCATCGACACCGGCACCAAATAAACACTTGAATATACATTTATTACTTGGACCTTCCATGAATCCATGTAGCCCAGGCTAGCTGGAGATTAACACTAGTGTTGATCCATTTCTGTTAATTCCTTGATGTTTCTGGCAAAAGTAAATCCCAATCTCTTTTATAAAGACATTCCCACAATTTTCCAACAATAGATGTCTCATTTAAAGCCCACTTCAGATGATCTTATCTTCCCACTGCCCCCTTGAGAAAATAGTTGATCATACACATGAATTTCAGCAAAGAGAACAAACAAAAATTCCAGTTTCCTAATTCTACAGGGTATCATGAAGATGGCTTGGTGACAAATGCCATATAGCAGCTGTGTTATTTAGAAGAACTGTGAGCTTAGGGACTCCATTTTTTGTACTGGGCAATAAGCCTGTGACCTCATCTGGCCTCTGCATAGTGCTTTGTGGAAAACTGCTTCAAGAATTGATGCAAATGGTGGTACTCTTCACAGCTGCTATAGCTGTGACTAATAAAACTGTTGTCTCTGACCAAGAAGTCTTTTGTGTTTTGCCAGTGTCCATGAAATATGACAGACTGCAAGTAGGTGAAATCCTAAAGTTCTAAAGCTTGTTTTGTTAGGTTTTTCCTTTTGATATAGCGTTTTACCATGTAGCCCAGGCTAGCTGGAAATTGCTATGTGGCCCACAGTAGCCTTGAACCTGGGATCTTCATGCTTCAACCTCCTGAGTGCTGGGATTATTGATGTTCACAACCATGCTAAATGCTCTTCACAGTTCTTGATGACAAGTAGTCAGAGTAAGCTGACAAAGCAAATTGAAACTTAGTAATTAGAAATATTGTGAGCAGATTAAATTTTGTAATTTTCAGTTAGAAACAGATTCTAAATTTAGATACAAAAACAAAGCCCATCTAGTTGATTTTTATCAGAAACTCACTTAAAGCATGGGGAGAAAGTTTGAGAATAAAGGTAAGAAATAATTTAAAAAAGAATAATAAAAAGTTCAAGGCAAAGCTTTACCAAGGGAAAGAGTGACATTATATGTGAAAAATTGAAATTAACTATTTACTAGAAAAATTAAGTAAAGTTTAAATTTTATGTATTTACATATCACTATAACCTCAGCTACATTAAGAAAAAACTGGACAAAATGAAATAGTATTATTGACTAATTCATCAGCCCAAGAGAATTTTTTGGAGGGAGAAAACTCAGGGCCCTATATTTGTTAGGCAGGTGCTCTGTAGATGATCTTTGACTTGTTACAAATTTTTGACTTACGATTCTGTAAAAGCAGTATGCACATAACAGAACTATGCTTCAGATTTTGATTTGGATCTTTTCCACATCTAAGGATTTTCAGTATTACACTGTCTCATAATACTGGGTAGTGACATTAAGCTGCAGCTCCCAGGCAGTCATAATACCCAGCTAAGCTGTGGTGTTTGGCAGGTTAGGGATGTTAAATGCATTAATATTTTCAACGTAATGATGGGCTCATTGGGATGTAAGCCCACTGTAGGCAAAGGAGCATATGCAATAAATGGGAGAGTAAAAAGTAACTACTTATGAGTCTGACTCAAAAGCAATAAACAATAATAATAAACCAAATTCAAAGAGTGGCAAAAAGAAATAGTGATGATAAGAATAGAAATAAATATTGTAGAAAAATAAAAACAAGTAGCTTTCAACAAACTAGAAGCTATTGTTTATTTCAAAATAGTTCTGGACATATTGGCCAAGAAAACACAAAAAGTACAAATAGTATATATTGAATCAAGAGAATGATACAATTTTTAAATTGTTAGATTCTGACAAATGATATACCAACACATTTAAAAATATGAAAAAAATTCTATGAATATGACTTGTGGAAACTGACTATGGATGGATTAGAAAATCTAAAAAGACCTATGATCATTTGCTGTGGTTTGAATGTATCTTCCAAAGTTCAGGTACTTAACTTAATCCCCAATGGAATGATAGTTTTGAGAGGTGGGACTGGGAAGCAATGATTAAGTCATGAGGGATCTGCCCCCATATTTGGAGTAATCATGTTATTGGGGAGCAGGTTTGTTATTCTGAGAGGATTTGTTGCACAGGGTTTGACCCTCTCTCATTCCCTCGTGTTCTCTTGCCTTTCTGCCTCCCTCCATGGAATGAGGCAATATGAAGGCTGACCCTGGATGTGAGCCCCTTCATCTTAGACTTTCCAATCTCTAGAACTATAAGGGATAAATTTATTTTCTTAATAATTATTGGTATAGGATATCTGTTATCTTAGCCCAAAATGGACTAATATAAAATTAAAACATTTAAAGTAGCAGTTAAACATCTATTTTTCTTCAAACTCCTTTCCCGTCATGAAAATAAAATAGGCATGCAAGTTTTGCAGGTAAATTGTAATAAACCATTAAAATATTAATATTCTAATCTAATTATTCAACTCTTGTAGAAGAGAAAAGAAGCAAAAGTCCACCAATTATTCTTTGAGGCTGCTGTATCCTTGACGGAGACATTGGGAAGAGACTGTAAATTCAGATACCAGAATATAACTTCAGAGATGATTTAGCAGTAACTCTGGATGGAGCATACCCTCTGTGCTTCTCTTCTCCAAGTCTCTGTGTGATGAAGTCCTGGAAAAAGTGAGGGCTTCCCTGCTGTTCCCTCAGCTCTGTAGGAGAGGACTGACCTTCCTAAGCCCTGAGCATTTTGGCCTTAGGCCCTACCCATTTTCTAGTTTTTTTCCCTAGAGAACTAGAATATTGATTTAGGTCATTTAAACCAATAACTTGTATTCCAGCTTGGCTTCCTGGCCTTGTCCAATTGGTCAGTCTGTCAGAGACAGCTGTGCCTTACGTGGTACCCCTATGTACCACCAGTATTCTATACCATGCTATTCAATTAATGCAAAAATTTTTTTTCACCAAGTTTATATGTTTTTTAAAATAACAGTGTATGTGCTAGTATTCATTCTGGTTTTATTACATCCAACAAAATAAATTGTTCAGAATAAAATATGTTTCCATAGAGCTAGTTCTGTTAACAATCTAAATGAGTGTTTAAATACTTGGGATCCATAACATCTTTACTAGCTCGAACCTGCTGAAGGAATCAAGAGCAGTGACTGTTGTAAAATGGCTTACATAGTTACTGTTTTTTCAATTAGATGAGACTAAATGTAGTTCTGGACAGTAGTAAAGCTCTTGTATGGAATGCCTGCCTTTTCCTCATGGGAGATAGTGGGTTGAGAAGCTTTCAGTTTGCTCAGGAAGAATTTGCCACAGAATTGCTTCTTTTACCACTTGGACCACACTCTCAGTCTTTTGTGCTGTAGTTATTTTTCAGGCAAGGTCTTATACTTGGACTGAGATTCTCTTACCTATGCCTCCTGCATAGCTGAATTATTCTTTGAGATATAGGCTCACAGTCTTTGCCTGAGCCGGCCTTGAACCACATTTCTATTGTCTTTGTTTCCCAAATAGCTAGGATTATAAGTGTGAGCCACTGTGCCTGAATCCTGTTACAGAATTATAAAGAAATCTTCAACAGATTAATGGATCTGTAATTTGAGGATTTTTATAAATACAATAAACAGTATTTTAACATACTCCAATGTGATTATAACTAAGGAATAAAAAAATGTGTGAATAGTTTCACAGAAAATGTCTACCACCTATAATAAGATTCAAACTGAGTGGCCAAGATTCTCCCTGAGCAACAAAAGGAGAAGACAGGAGCCAGCTAACCTCTGTGATGAGTGATGTTGGTTACAGCTTGAGAGAACTTGAAGAGATACAAATTAGAAAGCCACCACTGGGAGGCTTGTAAACAAGGCAAGCTTTCTAAAGTGGCCATCAGGAGAATCAGTCAGATGGATACCTCACAGGGTGCAGACTAAGTTCTTGCCTTTGAATAAAGAGGTAGTTAAATCCTTTCTCTTTTCATTCCTGATGTCTAGATCTGAACTTTTGTCATTCTCCTTTTGCCCTAGTAGAAGCCATTTCCTGAGCAGAAATCACTTAGGTATCTGTTGTGCTCCAGAACAATATTCATGTTCCAAGAAGTAGGGCTAATTTTTAGCGGTGGTGTTTCCTTAACACTCAAGTTGAGTGTTAAGATTGTTTATTTTGCACTTCAGTTTTTGAGAGGCGGATCTTCTTATTGAATCATGCACTAAATTGTAGTTGAAAAGAACACGGACTAATTGGATGTCCATGGTGCTGGTTCTAAAACTATCAGAAGTTGTGAATTTGGACAAAAAGAAAACAAAATGTAATCACTATAAGCTTTCTGAGCTGCAAACCAAGGCTTTTAAGACCTTTCAGATTTGCAATTGCGTAATCCAGATGTAAACCAAACATGAGCTTTACTAGAATGTAAGGAATTCCATAGCTATTGATCAATATCTGGGAGAGCCAAGAAAGATATCCAGGGAAGAGTGAACTTGGGTTTGTCTCTGAATGACATGCCTTACTGGTGACTAGCTTTGTTTTACAATATTTTTCACTTATATGGCTTATAAACTTGTATAGAATTATAGAAATTTGCTATGTATTGTTTAAGCCCTTGGAGCAGACTATATTTGGATATTAATTATATCAATTAGGGAATTGCTAAATACTGATAGCCTCTCTGATTATATTTTAAGTCCATCTAGAGCTCTTACTTCTTAATTATTAATCTGTTTCCTACCAGATTTCAGGTTTTTGTTTTTTTTTTAAATACCAGTGCTAGTCTGTCCAAGAATAAGAGAGTACACAAAAATGAATTAATAGAGTGGTGGAATAAACCTGCATTTCAAATCAGCAAGCCTAGGTCTGTTGGTTTCTTGTTACATAAAATTCACCTTACTTTTTTTCCTCTTGTCTCAGTTTCTTACTTGTATATTTGCTTGATGATGAGTGCTTTGTTAATTGGATTTTATCTATGGCCATTGTCAGATCAAATATATTCCTATCAATATTTTACTTTCATCTTTGAAATTGTTTAATATAGAGACAAAGACATAGTTCAAAGGCACTGTGTGTGAAAGAGACTGCATTCTAGATAATTTGTGTGCAAAGACAGGGAAGAATATAAAGGAAAGACAACAGGAAGGAAAACTTTTATTTCATAAATTTTTCCTCCTTAGATTCATGGCAACTTTCAGATAATTACTGTAATTTTGCTTTATATACTTTTCAGGTTTATTTTCTATAAATGTTGTGTTATTGTGTCTTCACTATTAGAACATTAATTTGATAAGAGCAGAATTTGCACCTAATACATAGTTAAGGTGTTCAATGAATGAATGTACTTCTTTCTTGTAATGAGGTAGAAAAGAAACTTTATTTTGTTGAATTTTTTTCCTAGTTGTTAGAAGAAATAGCCCTCAGAAGCAAACCTATAACTGAACAATACCAAGGACTTGAGAGATTCTTTACTTTTGAGAAAAACGAAAGACTTAGCTTGCTTCCCTCTCGAAGCTCGGAATGCAACTTTTCCTGTACTAAGATTACACTTACAGGTAAGTTCAGATATGGATGACTTATGGATCAATCTAACAATTTTCTAACTAATTAAAAAAGAAACTGTCATCATTGGGAAAAATACTGGGCAATTATGTTCAATGGATAAAATCATCTTCGTGTATAGCTGAAATTATTAGTCATGTTTGAGTTACCGTACATTTATCTTTGGGGCTACTATCATAACGTGAGAAAACATGACTGTAATAAGATTGGGGAAAGACTATTTTTAGAATTTAAAAGCATGATCCTTAATATTGTAAAATAGTACAAACTCTTTGAATTACTTCATCAGCTAAGCATTTTATGATGTTCCTTAAATTTCATCTTAAAAACAAATCATAAAATCTCAGGATCTGTTAAGTTTCTAAGATACGTCTGTAATTTCTTTTTCTCTCTCAGGTCTTTCTTATTGTGGTAAAAAGCAGATAACTTAAAACCTATGATCTTAATCATTTTAAGTGTCCACTAAATGCATTTGTAATGTTGTGTACCATCATTACGATCCATCTCAGAACTCTTTTTACTTTGCAAAGCTGAGACGCTATTCATCATTCTCTCCTCCCTCTCAGTCCCTAGCAAACACCATGCTACTTCCTCATTCTATTAATTGGTTATTCTAAGTACTTCATTCATATAACCAGAATCATATAGTATTTGTGTGTGTGATTGGTCTATTTCACTTAGCATGATGTCCTCAAGTTGTACCCATATCGTAGCATGTGCCATAATTTCTTTTTTAAAAATATAAAGTATAGGAAAGCAAGTCTAGATGGTTTGAAGCTCTATCTGTTCAGCTTCTCCTTTATGATCTGCCCAACTTCCAAGACTCTAGGGGAAATAGAAAATCACTGTCAAAGCAGAAGGAGTTTAAAAAAGAAAAACTTCCTTTTAAAGGCTGAATAGTATTTCATTGTACAGATTAGCATATTTTGCTTATTCATGCATCCATTAATGGACACTTGAGTTGCTTCCACCTTTCAGCTGTTGTGAATAATGCTGCTATGGACATGGTTTGTACAAATATCTCCTCAAGACTCTGCTGTAAATTCTTTTGGGTATATACCCTACTGTTTCTCACAGTGGCTATACCATGGAGCACAGGGTTCCAATTGCTTTATGTCCTTGTTTCTTGAGAGTAGCCATCTTCTTTGAGTCTGAGGTGGCTTATCACTGTAGTGTGGATTTGCATTTCCCTAATGGCAAATGGTATCAAGCATGATTTTGTGTGCTGTTTGGCCATTTGTATTTCTCCTTTGGAGTGACATCTATTCAAGTTCTTTGATCATTTTTTAGTCAGGTTATTTTTTAGTCTAATGGCAATGTCTTTTGATATAGGATTTGTTTTTGACTTTTTATAAAGTTTAATTGGTCTGTTGCTTGTTTTGTTATCTGTGCCTTTTATACCGTGCACATGAAGTCATTTCTGAATCCAGTCCTTTGAAGATTTTTTCCTGTATTTCTTCTAGAGTTTTATAATTTTTAGGTCTTACATTTACATCTTTGATCCATTTTAGTTAACTTTTGTTCATGATATAAAAATCCATATTAATTTGCATATGGAGTTCAAGTTTTCCAGAACCATTTGTTGAAAAGTCTGTCCTTTTCTTTACCTTTGTCAAAAATCATTTGACTGAGTGATTTTAATTATTCTTACCACACACACATAAAAGTATGTGAGGTGGGCAAGGAAGGTAGCTCTGTGAGCATTGACATTTAAACACTATTAGGTCTGTAAAGTCTGTGACCTTGGGATGTATTTCCATTCATTTGTGTCTTCTTTAATTTCTTTCAACAAAGTTTTATATTTTTCATTGTGTAAGTCTTTTATCTCTTTGGTAATTTCTAAGTATTTCATTCTTTTTAGTGGTTTTTATAAATGGAATTGTTTTCTTTGTTTCTATTTTGAAATGTTCATTGCCTGTATAAAAAAATAGAGTTAATTTTTGCTTACAGGCTGACTTCTACCCTGCTACTTTGTTCAGTTGTTGTAACTATGTTTTGTGGATTTTTAGGTTTTCTACATACAAAATCATATCTTCAAACAGAAATGGTTTTACTGCTTCCTTTCTGACTTGAATGCCTTTTATTTCTTTTATTCTCATTTCTCTTTTTAGACCTTCAATACTGTTTTGAATAGAAGAGGTGAAAGCTCTCACCTTTTCTTTGCTGCAGATCTTAGAGGAAAAGCTTTTAGTCTTTTGCCATTGATTGTGATGTGTGCTCTGGGTTTTCATCGATGGTCCTTGTTATTTGGAGTAGTTTTTCTTCTATTCCTGGTATCTTGTGAGTTCTTATCCTGAAATGGTGTTGAATTATGTCAAATGCTTTTTCTACATCAATTGAAATGATCATATTTTTCCCTTTATTGGTTAATGTGATGGATTGCACTAATGGATTTTTGTATGTTAAATCATCCTTATATTCCAGGAAGAAATTCCAATTAGTAATGGTGAATGACCCTTTTAATATGCTTTTGAAGTTTGTTTGCTAGTGTTTTGTTGAGTATTTTGCATCACTGCTTATACAGGATATTGGTTTAAAGTTTTCTTTTCTTCTATTTTCTTTGTTTTACTTGGTATTAGGTAATAGGTAGCATCATACAATAAGTCAAGAAGGGTTCCCTCTTCAGGTTTCTTGAAAAACTTTGAAAAATATTGGAGAGTTTTAAAAAATGTTTGATAAAACTCACCACTGAAACAATTCAGTCCAGGACTTTTCTTTGTTCAAAGAGTATTTTTTTTTTATCATTGACTCAATGTTCTTGTATGTTATGTGTATATTCAGATTTCCTATTTCTTCTTGATTTTGCAGTTTCACTTGTAAATCTAAGTCTTGGTGTTATTTTTATTATTCTGTCTCCTATGAGTTTAAATGTGTTTAATATCTCTCAATTCAGTAAAATATTGTTTGGTGAGAAAATACATTAAATCAACAACTTGGACATACCTTATTCTATACTTTATATTATCTTGCCATTTTTCCACTTTAGGAGACCGAGAATGGGTCCCAGATAGTAGCTTAAGTGCACATGCTGACAATGCAGTTGCCTTGGGTGTTCTACAGGTTGCCCAGAACCCACCGCCAAATGTGAAACAGCAAAAGAAGGGTAAGATAAGCTACAAGATTATTGTGCCACACTGGTGGCTTACTTTACTTGTTTGTTTCTTAGCAGTTTACCAAGCACCTGAATATATTTTTGTAGTTATAATCCATTTTAAATGTCCCAGACTTCAAAGGTAAAGAAACCAAAACACCAAGAATACACATTATTTCTCTCCCAAAACAAATCATCGTTTTAGTTATGTTCTATAGCAATGTATTAGGGAATATACGTATAAAATGTAGTTCAAAGTATGGTATATTTTGATCAATCCTCATAGAGCACACATTCAGTTTCTTTACACAATCAGGAAACAGTTGGGTCTATACCAGACTTCATGTACTATTTTACTTGGTTGATATATGACCAGATGTAGCCATGCATGAAATGAGTGGTTTAAGATTAAGATTGCTGCTTAGAGTTGGATTGATGTAACTTGGTTCTAAATCTAAGGCTGTATATGTAACATTGGGATCTTGATTTCAGTTTATTAACTGCACTCTCCAACCAAAGTAAGTGTATAACTATGGAATGCCGTTGTAATGTTTTCCTAATGTGTGTCACTAGTATCATTAGGTCATTACTATTATTCCATTATACCTGCTTAAGTACTCTAGTGTTATGTTGCATTTCATATAAAGTTGCGTAGATAATTAACAACTTAAAGTAATTCAACTCATGTATTGAGAGTGTTGACACTATTGTAAGCTCTGGGGATAAAGGAATGCATAAATCCTGTTTCTTGATCTTGGGGAGCTCACAGGTTTGGAGGGACACTTGACAAAATGGGCCACTTGCCTTGGTTTCAAGCCTCTCTTCAAGCCAGAAATTTAATTACATGTGAATTGTTCATATATATAAAATTTATATGTCTCACTTGCTCTAAACTCTATGATTAAATATCTTTGGCTAGCTCAGATCTTTTCTATATGCACTTATGGTGAGAATCTGTCAGATATAAAATTCTTTTAGGAGGAAAACCATCCATTTATGACAAATGTTTTTTGGCTCTATAATTAGGCACCTATTCTCACATCAAATTCTAAAGCAGCCCCAAACCTTCTGGCTGCTTCCTTCTGAGGCAGTCAGAAGGAACTGTATATTGATTAGAATAAATGCATGTGCATACTATGCGAAACTTGTTACTGAGACAAATCTTCACAAATAAATAGGCAGATGCTTTTAAGTATCAATTTGGTCAGATCAGTCAGCCAATAATTTAATACAGAAAACATCTGTGGTATCACCTACTTTATACCAGGTTGCCAGACACTGGTGACACAAAATAAACCCTGGTACCTGTGACTCAAGAACTTCGAGTCCAGTACGGAGGGTCTCACAAATCTATGTCAATGTAATCACTTGGAAAACCTGGTGGCACACATATTTTTGGACCCCACTCTTAGAGATGCAAGTTTATTTAGGCTGAGGTAAGGCCCAGAAATTTGGACTCACCAAGAATTCTCTGTTTTTCTGACATAGACAGCTTAAAGTTCATATTTTGGGAAAACTGCTGTATCCAGCAAATGAATAAATTACTCTGTATATAAGAGGGCTATGAATAACGTGTGTTTGGAAATTGATAGGTAATTAATGATGGGACATTCAATCAGTTATAACAGAGGTAGGTACATAATATAGTTTTTTAGGAATAGAGATGATAAAATGACTTTGCCATTGAAAAGTCTAGATATGAAAGATTTTAGACACTATGACATATCAGTTGAGTCTTTAAAAAGTAATAACATTTATATTTAGGAAAGTTGGGAAATGACTTCCTGGACAGAGGTAGTGGCCTGAAATAAAATAAAATGTTTCTGGCTATACTACAAGTAGTAAAAATCTTATATTCTGAACCTGTGCCAGTTTATAAAGGAATTTCAATTCCTGTAAGATTTTAAAACTTGTTTGTGTAAGAACATGGTAGCTTTGAAATACTAGTGTTTAGCAAATAGTCCATTCGTTGTCTCTACTTCCTCCCAAAACTTACTCCTTCTGCACCCCACCTTACAGTCTCTGTAATGGCAATACCATCCAAACATATGAAGCCCCAAACCTGGCAGCCAGCTTGACCCCCGGAAGTCATAACCTGTTTATTTGTAAATCCTGATGATTTCATCCCCAAATCCAGCCCCAGTCTAATCTCTTTATCTCTAATGTTCCTGGTGATCCCAAGCCAGATGCATCATCTCTTACCTGTTCCATTTCTCTTTTACTCCTCCCAAAACCATATTGATATGATTAATTTCCATCAATTTCTAGTATTTAAAGTCAGTGAGTAAATTGTATGCATCTACAGTCATAAAATTATTGATATTTATAATTTATAGAGTGAATCATACTTTCTGTATATTTTAACCATAAATAATATTGTGATTCTGCAGCCTAAAAGCATTCCACAGTTTCCTATAAAAGGTAGAAAAAAATTATCTTCTCTCCCCTGCATTGCACAGCAATACCTGAATTGTTACCCATCCCCTAACTGCATCTTCTCCCATACTTTAGTCAGATTGACTCCTTTCAATTCCTAGGCACGTGAAGCCCTTATTTCTTAGCCTTAGAATGGGCACTTCTCTCTAATACAGGATGATCTGCAACCTCCAACTCCATCTGAAGACCCTTTTTCATATGAATGCTTCTTTTCTGTTAGAAATAAAGTCAGCAGTGGTCCATTTTCAATGCAAAGAACTTAACCATGGGTAGATAATTACTGGATGCTTGCTTATGTATGAGCTTGTGGAGGTGACAAAGCTCATACACCAGAAACACCACAAACAGGATGTTAGTGGAGGGTCAACTGACAAGGGAACTTAAACTGGGAGGGATAAACCAGTATGAAATGAGGAAAGGGATAAAAACTATGTATGTAACAGAAAGCACATATCACAGGGAGGCCTTCCCACCACAAACAGACAAAGAGAGTTGGATACATAAGTCCCTTCTAAAATTGGATCAATCCCAAGAGAGGCATATTTTAAAATAACCCAGTAGGAAATAATAAAACTTAGGCAATGCCCAGGAAAGATTGTACACACCCTGAAGTACTCAGCCAAAGAGGAACCAGTGGAGGACCTGTGCACTAGGGGTAAAACACCTGTTGTAACCGCTTTGGGTGTGCCTGCCAACCAGACACCCGATCCTGGAAGACTGTCATTAAAGTCTTCCTTTCGCTGCACTACACGTGTCTCAGTCCATTGTTTGAGTTTGAACAGGTGAACATGTTTCTCACATTTCCCACTAATAGGTCTGAGTTCAGTTGCAAGAGCTGTTGGAGACCTTTGAGACACCCTACCTAATGCTAGCTTTTTGAATCTTTCTATCACTTTTATCTTTCTCATAGAGCCTATCATGATCTGACATTATCTTATTTAAATATTTTCTGCTGTCTCCCAACTTGGTAAGAACAAAAGTAAGTCCTAGCCTGTCCAGTTCATTGGTGTGTCTTCAGTGATAGAACAGGGGCCTGCACACTGTAACTGCTCAGTAACTGTTTCTGAGCAGAGAAGTAGGATAGAAAGACTTTGTGTGTTATTTTGGAGCACAACTTTCAGGTAGGGACAATGTCTCATTCACTTTTGAATATCTTGATCATAGCACACTGCCTGGCTGTTTTAGGAGTTAATAAATGATGTTATAATTGAATTGGATGCAGTATTAATTCACAGGTTCTCAGAGCTGGAAGGGATTTAAGACATACTGTTCAATTCCTTAATTTTGCAGGTGAATTATGGATTACCATTTGTTAGGTCACAGGTTGATTTCTAGTTCAGTGACAGGAGACAGTAAGTTTCTTAGCAACCCAGTTTGGCACTTTTTCCCCACTAAACCACAATGCTCAATAAAAATTTTTAATATGTTTCTAGAATTCTTAAAAATTTGTTCTCTATTTTGCTAAGAATATGAATCTCAGCAGTTCATAAACAAGAATATCTATAGACAACATGTTTGCATACTTTATTCAGTATTAAAATATTGGGTCCTTGGATCAGGATATTGTTATTTGCTACTAAAATGCTATCCAAAAAGCAAGTTGATATAATTATGTTTTATCAATGCTAATGTTATATTTAAAATGGTAATAACATTGTTGTATTAAATATTATTCAATAAATGATTTATATTTTCCATATCTTTATTGGTGTTTTGGGGCTCATTTTTTTGGCAGAGTTTCATTAAGTAACTATAGAGCATATATTCTTTAGCTAACATCAAGGAAAATTTATTTTGTTATATTTAGGATGCAACTGATCAGTATTAATCATTTTCTGAGATTACATTGCCAGTGTTAGCACAGATTATTGCAGGGTAATATTTTGTGTTTATAATCTATAGACTGGGCAATTTTTATTATGGAATGCTCACCTCTACAGTGGTACTTTTCTTTAGTGCCAGTCTTAATGTTGTGTCAACCTCTTAACCATAGTAATATTAATAACCTTATAAATTAATACTAGAGGGAATAATGTATTTACCTAAATGAGTAATAAATAAGTGAAATCAGTGTCCAGATTGGAGCTTCTTTTATCTTTTTCTGTGTTTTTGTTATCTTAAATTACAGGGGAGCATATTTCCAGTAAGAGAGATGGTCTGTCTCTTTGCTGTTTGCTGAGCATAAGTCTGACCCATCCCCTGAGTACATTTTCTCTCAGTTGGGATCAATTAGCTTCAAATACCATAGTAACCAGATGTTGTTGTAAGAGTTTATCTGCTGTTGCCGTCTCCTGAGTTTTCTGAAGGGCTGAAGAGTTTCCTTACTTCATACTTTTCTGGACTGGTCAAAGTCCAGTCTTCACTAATAACATCTTCCTTTATGTTTGTTTTATTTTAATAAGAGTTTTAAATTCCTTTACAGTTTGCCTTGACTGAGACACATCATAATAGTTGTGTTTTCTCCATAGATACAGTCCCTTTGAGTGCTGTTGAGAATTTCAGTTACTCCCACAGAACACAATGATCCTGTGTTCTGCTGCTGCACAGCATAAGAGAGGCAGATTGTTTTCCTTGATGGATATGGATGAAATGTTGGTTCTTTGCCCCTTATAGATAAAAGAGCAAATTCTTCTCATCAAAATAATTGTTTTTATTTTATTTTATTTTTTTGGATTTACTTACATGCGTATACATTATTTGGGCCACCTCCCTCCCAACCCCCAGCTTCCAGGCAGAACCTGTTTCATCCTCTTGTTCTCCAATTTTATAGAAGAAAAAACATAAAAGATAATAAAAAACATGGTGATTGCTAGTTTGAGATAAAGATAGCTATACAGGGAGATTCCTTGTGTTGTTTCCATGCATATGTGTATTCTTAAGAAGTCAGGTGTCTGTAATCTCAGCTATTTGGGAGATAAAGATGGAAGGATAGCAGTTGGAGGTAGGCAAGAGCAAAAGTTAGAGAAATCTTATTTCAGAAACAAGTCAGACAGGGTGGATCATGCTGTAATCCCAGATGCTTGGGAGAAAGAGGTAAGAAGGTCATGAATGGAAGCCAGATGGGACAAAGATGAGAACTTATCAGAAAAACAAACTCAAAGCAAAAGGATGGGGGTGGGGAAGTATGGCCTAAGTGGTAAAGCACTTGCCTAACAAGGCCTCGATTTCAATCCTCACTACCACCAAAATTAAAAATTCTTAATGATATATATATATATATATGTGAGATATATATATATGTGTGTGATATATATATATATATGTGAGATATATATATATATGTGATATATATAATGTATATATACACGTACACACTTACAGGCATATCAACACATAAGCAGATGTCTGTCAGTTACTGTTTTTGGAATTGTTTCTGAGCACAAATAGTCACAAAAGGGTCAGAATCTTATTTTAATTTATTCATTATTTCATTCCAACAAAATTATTTTAAAAATTGAGTTTTGCAACGTTCACTAAAATGGTTCCCTTTGGGACTTACCTTTGTAAGTTTAATTGCTTACATAATTGCAAACTGCTTTCCAGTTTTTCTTAAGGTATTAGCTATATTGATAGACTTTTGAAAGTATGACAACAGGCAAACTCAACAATCTTTGTTTCCAAGGTGACTGCCTATAGCCACTTTTTTTGAATTTGACATTTTCCTAAGAGTCAATAGCATAGATATAATGTTATATTGCACCTGTTCAGTCAAACAATGATTTGCATGATAGCGACATTTGTACTTCTTTATAGAATGCAGTATTTTACATGAAGCCAGCTTGTGTTAAGGAGAAGCAAAGTCATCTTACAATTTAAGTTATTTATGTTTAACATAGATATATTAAACATATACTTTTTCTTATGTAAATATCTACTGTACATTTAAAAATTTACCTGTGCTATTAATTTTTAAATTTGTTGCTTGTAACTTCTGTCTTCGCTAAAAAATATTTTCTGTAAGAAACATGAAATTATAAATTAGTTTTTCTGTATAGCATTTAAAAGATACTTTTTTCCTTCTGTGAACAAATTTAGCATGTTAGGAAGCCAACTAAACCAACCTTTGAAACAGATGAAGATAAGTAGTGACTGCCCTAGTGGAACACACCCATGCTTCTAGACCTTCACACTAAAGTGCCCTCTGAGGAATTTAGGGAAATTGCAGATATGATCTCAATTTCTTTAAAGCCTGTGTTTTTCTAAAAAGTTTACACATATTATTTTGTCCCTACATTTTAAAAATATAAAACATACTTTGTGTAAAATTAGCTCACTAGGTGTAGCACCGGTTTATCCATTTTTTTCTTACAAGGTTCAATGTGGTAAACACATTTTCAGGTAGACTAGAAGACTGTGTAGCATGCTAATCTGAAGTTGACTTGTTTTATAGATATTTTGCTTTAGTGAATATTAAAATTAATTTGTCTTTTTCTGAACATAGAACAACTATTCAGAAGTGTTCTTTGTATGTAATTTGAGATTAATATATTTTGGTTAGGTGGGATGGGTAACAATCAAAAGTTTGTCTTCATCAACTTGGTTGCATGATATTCACTGCTCTATGTTCAGGAGGCTGATATTTTGCACTGTTAAATATGTACTTCTGATCTACAAAACATCTGATTTACATTTTTTTCTTTTTGTTTTAGGCCAGAAATCTCAAAGACCTTCAACAGCAAATTTACCACTTTCCAACTCTGTAAAAAAAAGCTCCATCTGTCTTCTATACCCTCATCCTCAATCAAAACGTAAAGCTGCACAGTCATTATCTAGAGCTGCTTCTGCAATTTCCGAAATTGAATATATCGATATGACTGAGCACAATGATCCTTTCTTAGATAACACAGCTGACCAACACACCTTAGACACTTTGGAAAAAGAATTAAACGTGCTAAAAAATCTTGCAGGTAATGCCATTTTTTTTCATTGTAGATAATGTTAGCTCTGCCCTCTGCCTCATTCTTCATATCTTGCTCTAAAACACAAGTGAGCCAAAAGTGCTTTCCTCTTTTCATCAACTTTTGTGTTCGTTTTCTTGTTAATCCCCTGATAATACCCTGAAGAACTTATAAAATGTGTGGCTGCCCAGCCACACCAGAGATAGCCTCCCTTAGCCTACATAATATAAATTGTGGCATATGGACCTTCATGTGCAAAGAGGAAAAAATATCTTTTTTCTGCTTTCTACAAATCCAGTAAAGGGTTGTTCTCTGTAGCTTTATGAATATTGCTCTTACTGGAAATCTGAGCTGTTACATCTCCTATGCAGTGCTTCTCAAGCTGTAATGTATGCACAGATCCCCTGTGGATCTTCTTAAATGCAGATTCTGATTCAGATGTCTGACTGGGCCTGAGATTCTGCACATCCATCAAGTGTTCTGTGAAGCCAAGGTTGCTGGTTAACAACCACAGTTTGAGGAGGTGTCTTGTGCATTCTGCTCTCATCCTCCATGAAAGTTGTCTGACAAATGGTGAACATATTCTTGAACATGCAAAGCTCTGATTCAGCAGCAAAGCATCAAGAGAAACAATCCTCTTATTTTCTTAGAGTCATTTGCACAATTTTAGATAACTGTAGACCCAAGAGGCAGCCCAGAAAGTTTTCTGGTCCCGTCCCGTGTATTCTACACTTGGCTCGTTTTTTTTTTTTTTTTAATTCTTCTTAATTAGTGTTCTTTTCTCTTATTAAGCTTAGAATATCATCTAAAAGTGATACAGATTTATTTTGAAACTTGAGTCAATAAAAAAACATATAAAAGAAAGCCACAGTTCCCACAAAATCTTATGGCTCTTCAAATAACCATTATTAACACTCATGAGTATTGTTTTAAATATCTGTTTGATTCATAGGTACAATAATAAGAATAAGTTTTTGGAAGATGAGTAGAGTAAGGGAAAGGTGATTATTTTTGTAAAAATAAGTTTATGCTCCTTTCCCTAATACTTTCAAAGACTGCAAGTAAATAGATATGCTCAACAGTAAAATTGAAATTGATATCAGATAAGTATTTTTCACAATAAAATATTGCAAGTTGAACTATCTAAAATTACCCTTTGCAGACCAAATTCTGGAATATTGAAAGTTTTATATGGTTTAATCTAATTTTTACAAATATTCCTTTAAAAATTAAGGAAAAATGTGAAAAGCAACATTAGGCAATTGAGGCCACTTATAACTATATGTTTTAGGTTTTGACAGCAACAATTAAATTTCTTTAATAAGAGATGAAGAATGATTTGTTAAACTAGATGATGTTGAATATTATAACAGCAATGTCAAGGTTTCCTTTCATTTGCCTTTTCTTAGTGAGAATTCATGTGGATTCAATGATCAGTACCAGCATTTTCCCCCATGACTTCTTGATCTTGAACCTTTTATTTCCATTCATCTCTAAAAGGTTTGATGATGGCATTCTTGATATCATCTGTCTTTCATCTTTATTGTTGATTGGCACATCAGCTAGATTTATTTAGTTGATCAGAATTTCCTGGCCTTTGCATTTAGTAGACATTTCTCCACTGTCTTCTAATTTCCACCATGGTGCTACTTAGTCCTTTATTACAGTTTTTCTTATTTATATTTTGTTTAGTTGTGTACAGTTGTCAAGTAGTTTTTCCCTGCAGGTTGGGCTCATAGTATATTCATGTTTGAGAATGACTGCTACTTTCATATTTGAATCACAAATATCCTTGTGTTATCTTAAACCTTGCACGTACTGATTCATCATTTTCTGGTTCAAAATTCTGCTGCGAAGTAGCAGGAAGCCACCTTAGTTTTTTTTTTTACCTTGCCAATCTTGGTCCCATGTGAGAGGCTTCTTTCCCACCTGAATGTTTGAAGAACTTTTTTCTTAATTCTTTTTTCTGTTTTCTTTTTTTTTGGTAGACTGGGGTTTGAACTCAGGGCTTCATTCTTGTAGGTGCTCTACCACTTGAGCCATTGCTCCAGTCCATTTTGCTCTGGTTATTTGGAGATGAGGGGGTCTCACAAACTATTTGCCCAGGCTGGGCTTGAATCGCAGTCCTTCTTATCTCAGCTTCCCAAATAGCTAAAATTATAGGCATGAACCTCTGGCACCCAGCATTTTTCCCTTTAATTCTTGAAATGGAGTGACTAGACCAGGATTGTGTTTGTGTTAACAAATCAGCATTTCTTAAAATGGCCTGGTTCTCTTTCTGAATACATTCTTCCTTATTTTCAGAGAAATCCACGTTTGTGTCTTTGAATTGGTTTTCTCTTCCATTTGGCTTTGTCCTGCTGAATAAACCATTTTCTTCATGCTGGATCCTCTTTAAACAATGTATTACTTCTATTTTCTTCTGTTGTTTTAACAAATTTTTTTCACCTTTATATTTACTGTCACTATATCAAGTCTTTCTTCTGTGTCAGGATTTTAGTTTTCACCTGGTTATAGTCTACTTTTTATCATTTAATTTTTAAAAAATAGTTTTCTAAAGGCATTGCTTTAACTTTTCCTTTGATGTTTCTGGTAGCTTTTAAAAAATTTTACAGGAAATTTGCAAAGTATGCAAAATAATATAAGAAACTCCTGTACCCATGCATATTAATATTTTACTCATTGCAACATACACAGAGCTCTTGTTTTTTTCTGAACTATTTGAGAGGGAATTATAAATATTATGACGTTACCGTTACCAAAAAGTACTTTGGTGTATATTTCCCCAAAAGAAGAATATCTGTTATATAACCTCATTACAATAATCAAAATCAGGGAAGTTAACATTGATATGATATGATCCTCTATTCTTACTTAATTTTTAAAATTGCCCTGATGTTTGCTATGATGGCTTACTCTTTTCTGGTAAGAGAGGCTTGATTGAATGGGTGACCATTTAATTATTGCTCCCTTGATGCTTGACATATTTCTGTGTCATTGTTGAGATTAGTTTTGCTCTTTTAAAAAGTTGGTTTTCATTACTTCTTTTGTAGCTACGGGACTTGTGAGTTCTTATGTATGGTTCTAATGTATGCTTTCTACCAGATTTAGTCTTTTAAGTCATCATCCTTTGCATGCTTTGGATTCTTGGCTTTTTAATGAGTTGGACTAGCTCTTTGCTGTGCCATTTCTTTGTATCTTACCTATGCTTAAAGACAATGGCTTTGTTTATATCTTTAATCTTTCCTGACAATAGTGAAACTAAATTCCCTCTGAAATTCTATGTGCTGTACTGAGATCAGTCTGTCTTTTCTTCACAACTACTTCGTGGGGTTGGTTATCCCAGGCTTTTCTATCTCCTGCCAGCTGGTAGGCATAGGAAGGAGTCAGGACTGGGATGCTCAGTCTCCTATGTTGGAACATCTGGGCTCACTTTGCTTTTCCTGGATTCTGTTAAATGCCAAACCTTATTGGACCTGGCTTCGGTATGTTCTGTCTTTGTGAGGACATCTGTGGGTTTGCAATTTTCTTGCTTTGGCTAAGATATTGTGGTGGATGCTTAGAGATTTCTGATGTCTTTCCCTCAATTCTCTTTACTCAGTTGTCTCCAAATTAGGATGGTACTGGTGAGACTTGTCCGTTCTTTTGATGACCCCTTCTATTGCTAGTTTGTTGTCTGTGTAGTGGCTGGGCCTCTGAGGTGGATGAGGAAGGCACCCAGCCACACTTCAGAAAATCTTGTCTGTTTCTTCACTTGCTCCTTGTTAAAGTTTATTATGTGATCTTGGGTTCCTTTCTTTTTATGTTTTTGTTTTACTTTTGTTTGTCTGCTTTTACTCTTACTTTAATTAGGGGTTGAGGTAGAAAAGTCTGTGTTCTACCTTTACCTTAATTTACTTGCCTTACTCTGAATTGCTAAAAATCTAATGTAAATCTTCTTCGAGGTAGTTCTAACATTAAAGGCCAATTCAAAAACAGAACACATCAAGTCTGAACTAAATCTAATGGAGCAGTCATATAGCTTTTAAGCAGAAAATAAAGGCTTCTTATTTTGATAATTGATAAATTCCATTATTTACAAAGGAAAAGTTTCCCAATGGTAGTTCTTTTTTAAAATCTACTCCAGCTTTTCCATTTCTGTTGTCATTTTATTCTAATGTGTTTCACTCTGTAGCCCTGTCACTTACCAGCAGCATTTTCACTAGAACCTTTTACATATGAAGCAGGTACATGCTGAGCACTCTATGCTTTCCTGATGGTCCAGCATCAGAAAGCAACCAGGTTCCCATAAGTAACCCCCTCTACCTTTCTTTGCATTGGGAAGATTGGCTTTGGATGAGAGCACAGTTTTTAAAGAAGTTCACCTGGAGCTCTGAGACAGGAGAAAAGATGACGTATCACCCGAGTCAAGGTGACAGGTCCTACAGCGGAAGTCACTGATTCTGCTCAAGGACTTTGTTCTCTGTTTAGCATCAATGGGCAGAAAAATTCTACCTCCCCATTTCACTACTCAGGAAAAATTCTTCAAGAGGTTTGCCCAACAGCCACAGCCGCACATTGTGACTCCTGTGCAGATGTAAACGTGTTTGCGTTCCCATGATCGTGGGCAGCACTGTTGGGAGCAGAGGTCCTTCTGCCTTTTTGTCTGTTAGCTCCAGATTACATCCACTTCCTTTTTCTAAGCTCTATGAGAGATAACTGTGCCAAGGAGCTAGGAGAATAAAAGACAGAAAATAACTACATTAATAAACTTTCTTCTTTGATGCAGTTACTATGGCTATCATAGTGCCATTTCAGAAGTAGCTGGGGTGAGCAGAGGTATGAGTGTGTGTGTGTATGTAACTTCCTGATGTATCAGGAGACAAGAGATAGCAATTTGGCTGGCTCACCTGTATACCTAGCTATAACAGAGGTGGAGACTGGGAAGATTATGGTTTGAAGCCAACCCAGGCAAAAAGTTAGTGAGACTCCCTATCTCAACAAACTACTCAGGCATGGTGGGTTATACC